CCATTGCCTCAAACCCAACGCCATCTGAGAACAAGTCCCTTTCTCTCCGTTTCTATGCTGGGAGATAGGGGGTCCAAATCCATGGTGCTCACCAGTTCTAATTTCATTTCTCAGCCAAACCACAGCAGGTGCTTCTCTGGAAACAGTGAGAAAGTACAGAGATGTATTACCACAGCTTGGTTAATGGCTTGAAGAACATTCTACACTCTTTGCCCATGTACTGCATGGAAAACATCAACCATTGATGTTCATTTCTCTGAAATGGAAGAGGGATTTAATAAGTTGATAAGAAAAAAAATGAACATGTAGCAATGCCTTACAACTGAAATGAGTTGTCTATGAAATCCTGAACGCTTGGCTTATCCACCACGGCAATGTCTCCTTCTTTCAGTCTCTGACAAACATCTCTTGCCTCCAGCCAGGTTGATGCAGATGCTGAGATCCAGTAGCAGTGTAAACCATCTTGATCAATTTTGGACCTTTTTGGGCAAGAATCTTCATCTGGAGGATGAGATTTTATAAATAGAGTGTGTTAATTCATCTGTGATATATCAGTAGAAATACAGAAAAAACATCTGAAAATGCTGAGATCCAAAAATAGCTGCATCCTCTGAGAGGACAGCAGTTAAAACGTCTCACCACTGTAGCTTGTGACAGCACTGAGGATCCAGAAGAGAAGCAGGTGCACAACAATTGCCATTTCATTGGTGTCCAATGTAAATCATTCCCACAAATGCTGATGAATCATACAAGAACTACAGTGCCATCCATTAGTCTGTCTCTATCCCGTGGATAAGATCCTGTTCTCAGGGCTCCTTTTCCCTAGTGCTCTTTGTCAGTGTCTTCCATCGTATAACGTTCACTGTGGTTCTCGTCTTTAAAAAGTCCCCTCATTCTCTCTGGTCTCTGCCCTTTCTCTTTCTTTCTTGTCCTGTTCTTGCTCAGTGACTTATTAGCATTGTGTTCAACATAGCATTGCCCCTCACCCCCTTTTAAAGTATTTGGATGACTTTTGGTTTGTCTCACAGCAACAGGCCTATGAGTGCAGAGGACAGAGGAGCCCTCATTAGCATGCTGTAAAATCTCTCCCTGGTGAATAGGCAGTTAAAGTCACTGAGACAGGTTAAACCCTTCTCATACACCATTATCCATTAAAAAAAAAACATAAAAAGGGAAGATGTCAAAAGACATCTACATGAGTAGCAGATTGTCTGTTGTGAAAACGCATTGCAATCAGGTTTTCATCTTGAATTGTGAAGATGGCAGTCAAAAAGACTTCAGCAAGTGGTTTGGGGAAAAATCTTAATGCCATTTGGCTCAAAGGCAAATCTGTGTAAATTTTACATGAACTCTCACAACACCTTAGCACTTCAAACACAAGCTATCTGAAACAGAAAAATACAGGACAGGTGCAGTGCTCGTTGCTAGGCAACAGTTTAGCTGGAGTAACAGTTGAGAGTTGTGTAGACATTTATGCAACAACTGATATGTGCCTGACATCTATTTAGAGCTATTATAGGCAAATCGGTGTTATTACCAGGTGGGGAACTGTACTTGGGCCCATAGTGTGGGGGGAGGCCTATAGTGACCTGCCCCCTTCGTTGGAGCACCTAATATAGATACTGACCCAAATGCATACCCATAACTCATAAAAAAAGATCCTAACAATCTCACCTGTTAGCTTCCATCAATGCTACAGCCCCGGTATCTATTTATCCCCTCTTATCCATCACACATCTCATTCATAGTAAGTGTTTTCAGATGGAACCTTCATGACCTGCAATATGATGTTTATTATTCATGATTTAAAAATTCTAATGTAAACATTTAACTCAATGTCAGATGCTAGTGGGCAGAGTGGCCTGCCTTTTTTGAACATAACAATAGCGAGTAAACAAGCAAAATTACAGTCATTTTATATGTATTAAAAGTAATTTTTGTATGGGGGGGGGCAATTCATTTTGCTGAGCTGGCTCCCATAAGATCCTTCTTATGCTAGTAGCCAATCATAAACATTTTCGTAGTGGGTAATGAGAACCTTTCTGTAAGGATTTTTGGATTTTTGTGTACAGCAAAAGCTCAAAGTCTCAAATGTTCTATACATCCTGTTCTTATAGGAACACATTCAAAACTGATTCAAAAATGTATTGAATGTATGGTGGAAGAAGCTCAATAGCTTTTTATAGAGGCTGCAACTGCTGAGAAATTGCAGCATAAATCTTAAGGAGCTTTTTGACCAACTTTGCTTTTTGTAGCTCTAAACCTGATAAAAGAGAATTCATTAATCTGCAATGTCCTCAAGAAAACCCGCATGATTAGCCTTGTTTTTGTTGGTTGCACTCATTATACCATGAGAGACTTCACACGTGTCCAGGGCTCTCATTAGTTCGAATTTGGGTAACGTGCATTTAGGGGAAAAGAAGAAAATACCAGTGAATGCAGAAGCGGAGAAACAAATCTCCATGGTGATGAGGCACAATTAAACAGCCTGCTCCTCCTCCTCCTCCTCCTCTCTGTTGCCATTCTTCTGCAGCCAAAGAGTACAGAGTCAATAGCAGTGACGCACTGGTGCGCAAACACTGCAAAGCAGCCTGCAGAAGGACAAAAAGGTCAATATTACCATGCTAGAAGTTTTAACCCAGACATCTGATTTTTCCCATCAGTAGTACCTCGTCATATTGATACTGTGATTGAATAAAACTGGGGCCACATTAATATGATACAGTGACCACACACACACACACACACACACACACACACACACACACACACACATACACACACACACACACACACACACGCACACATTTTCTGAAACCGCTTATCCTTCTGGGTCGCGGAGGGTGCTGGAGCTTATCCTAGCGGTCAATGGGTGGAAGGCAGGATACACCCTGGACAGGTCACCAGTCCATCGCAGGGCTAGTGACCACAGTTGTTGGATATTTTTATAATCAGTGTTAGCAGTGTAACCCTGCTCAATATGTGTTATACAGATCAATTAAAGTTCATAGAAAGGCAATGACAACACATTTTACACTGAATGGTGTACATTTAGAGTTTCCATTTCAAAGAAAGGCTTGTATCTTAGAGAGAATTGTCCATTTGATCAGCTCCACTTACTATATAGGTGCACTTTTTAGTTCTACAATTACAGACTGTAGTCCATCTGTTTCTCTGCATACTTTTTAGCCCCCTTTTACCCTGTTCTTCAGTGTTCAGGACCCCCATGGACCCTCACAGAGCAGATACTATTTTGGTGGTGGATCATTCTCAGCACTGCAGTAACACTGATGTGGTGGTGGTGTGTTAGTGTGTGTTGTACTGGTACAAGTGGATCAGACACAGCAGTGCTGCTGGAGTTTTTGGACAATGAGTATAAAAACAAGGAGGTGGTCATAATGTTATGCCTGATCGGTGTATAAACAATGAAAAAAGGTGTTTTTCAAAGTGAGCGGCCAGTATTTTATATATATATATATATATAATATATATATATATATATATATATATATATATATATGTAGATAGATACATAGATACATATATAAGTCTACTATATGACGCTCTAGTATATAATGTCTATTCTTCTGTGACACTTTCAGCAAATGCAGCTCAAACTAGCTGACTTGCATTCCTAACTCCTAGGTAAAAGCACTAAATTACAGGAAATCATGATGCACTTCCAAGGCAAATTTACAGTAAATCTACCAATTTTCTCTTAAATATGCTACCTCATCTCACACATTCCCCAGGTATTTTTCTTTTGGACAAATGCTTTTAGAATTGTTTTTGTTTTGTGCATCAATGATTAACATAAGTTGGAAGAACACTTAAAAGCTCTTTCCCCTATCTAACAGAAGACTGCAGTTACCCATTTGACAGCCCCAAACAAAAACCATTATCTATATTATTTGAACATCTGTATATAGGAGATCTCTAGTCTAGGAGCAGCAGCAAGCAAAACTGTATCAAACTCAATTATGCTTAAAGGTGTGACAAACATGTCAGCTTCCCATTCTGTAGTTAAAAACAGTTATGAGACTAAAAATGTCAGAGATGGAAAATTCTAAATACATTTTGTTAAATTCAGCAAGTGTTTTTTCATATTGTCTATTGCTAACATCTTTTCATCAGTGTTTGGATTATAACAAAAAATGGATAGATTCAATAAGAAATGTGAAGGATAATTTCCTGACTCTATTATTAGTATACCTCATACTTCTTTGCATGTAACTGACATCATGTATAATTACAGCAGAGGTTTCGCATGTGACTACCGTGCATTAAATCAGTTTTGGGCTACCAGTTCCTGAATCAAGTTAGTAAATCATCTTGTTAGTCCAATTTTATTCCATTATTAGTTGCAGCATGCATGCATGCTAATCATTCTTCTGCACCTTTTCTGTTCTCCATACTTTTAATAATCAATGGTTGTTGCTTTCCTACTCAAGTGACACTGAGAACGTTTAAAGGGGGCAAGTGGAAAACCAAATTTAACCCCCCCCCCTTTTTTTCTTCAAGTTTCAAAACATACAGTTCTCCTCCAGTCCACACTGACCAATCAGATTTGGTAACTGAGCTATAAAAAAGACAATTTTTAAAATATATTTATATATATATACACTGACCTATTCAGCCTACAGCAGTGTAGTCCCACTAATTCACACTATAAGTTATAAGGACTGTTTCATTCTGTGCTGCTTTTTGAATGAGACACAATACAAGGCAACCCATCAGATAATTAACATATATCAGGCACTTAAAGGCACAGTAACACAAAGAGCCTGTTCAATTCTAAAGGGTTAATGAAGTGAGGTTGGAAAATGCTCATGTGAAAATTAATTCTGACTGTTTTTGGGACATAAAACTACAAAAATGTCATAAGTGAACCTCAAAAAAAATGTAATAAAAAAATTGGGAAATGGGCCCTTTAACGGAATCCTAAAGTGAGCTGCCTATATAATCTTGTAAACGCTGTAACCATTTCACAGATGATTTTGTACAAGGTTTGAGTAGCACATTTATTCACAAGAGTGGAAAAAAAGGTATTTGCTGTTTTATCAATGGTGAGGTATTGAACACACATCAAAACAATCCTGAAAGTCCACAAAACATCCATGCACAGTTCAGGGGAGCTGTGCAGTAAGTCTCTTTCAAACCATGTCTACTAGTTTGAAATTGTTTTCCTGCTTTGTGGGAACGATGTTGATGAAGGTCTTGTAGAGAACAGCTCCTTTTGGAAGCTTTGGGATCAGATTCCTGGCTTCAGGACTGTGTGGGCGAGGAATATAGACCTCCTTGGTGAACCTGACAGTGCCGTCTTCCAGTGCATACAGCGTGTTATTTGTTCCAATGCCAACCTGTGAGAGAAAAAAAAGTGGAGCATCTTGAGGTCAGTTTCTATGATACCTTTACTCTTCAGGACTACTTATATAAACTCTTCAATAACCGTTTGAAAATATGTGAAATATGGAGCATTATATTGATTGTTTTAGATAACATACACTGTAAACAGGTTAGTCAGTTCAACCTGAAAAAAATACTTTGACTGGTTTTATTCAAGTCAAATAAATATAATATTTTAAATGAACAAAAGCAATATATATTTTAGTCAGCTTAAAACTCACACTTTAAACTAACTTCTACTGTTACAGCTTTTTTACAGTGTTCTAGAGGATAACATATAAAAAATCTTACATGAGCTCCTGGATGCCACCGTGTTACCCGCTGTGTTGCCAGGATATTGCCAGCATGAACAAAGTCTCCTTGGAATACAAAAGACTAAGATTAGAGTATAATTTGAGGAAAAAAGCAGGACTTTTTTTGGTGTGTCTTTCTGAGTTTACATGTTGACAGTGAAAGAAAAACGGTGTGTGTATGCAGCCATGGAAATGTTGGCAAAAATGGATGATGGAGAGCTTTAGCAGTTTCAATTGTTTATTTAAGATCAAAAAAGGTATTAGGCTGGTCTGTACTCTTCATTTGTTCTATAATAATGGACAGGCCTGGACATCAACAATGAGACATTCAGTATTCATGGCTCTTGGATGTATGGATGGACAGAACATAATAAAAATTCAGCCTCTGGGAAGGGCATACAGGGAAAACAGAATTTTTGATAGATCAGTTCGTTGACCATGGCAGAATTTTCCATTGCTGCTCCATTAAAAACAGTGGAATATCTGGTCTGCCATCGACCGTCTACTATCGAGTAAATGCAGCATAACACTAAAGAGAACTGCACAGACCTTATGCTCACATTTCACTCCTCATACTCTCTTACAGCAGAGAACCACAAACAATCCAGGAACAGTTTTTATAGTGGGGTCAGAGAATCCTGAAATAATGAGAACGTTAACAAGCTATGTACGTTACCGTCTTGTTTCTTGAATCCATATCTGTGCCCAGGACTTTTCCCTCCCAGGTTTTTACTGCTCCCTCCAGCTTTCTTAGAGGCGAATCTTGTAGATACTACCACTGCTGGTGTTTGATATGATGTAAGAAGACCTACAGATACAAAGAAAACGTTAATTTTCAAAAGATCTATGTGTTTTTCATGACTGAATCAGTTGGTAGCTGTTTGTTAAATGTTACATCAGCACGGATGCAGAGCATTAAGTTGTATCCCAGTGGTGATCCATTCCAGTTTTGGGACCTTCCACACCCGGCCCAGTTCATGAATGAGCTGGATGAGGCGTGTTTGGACAGGGAATAGTTTAAACTGTTCAGGGCAGGGGATCCACATGACTGGAGACCAGAACTACTGCTGCAAGTTACCCAGGTCAATATAACACAGACTAAAGTGAATGTAAAGAGGTGACAACGAAGGACAAAACTAAAGCTTTCCTCCAGGCTGATAGCTGCTCTGTAAGATGCTCAGATTTCAGCTGTCTGCTTTATTGAGGGATTAGCGAGAGTCACGCTGCAGCATCACTAACCTGAGAACAGCGCGTTCACCCGAGCTAATACTACCGACTATTATCATACAACAAATGACCTGTTTAAAATGCCCGCTTGGCTACAAGCACCATGTGTTGTTTGTCGTTATGGCAAACAGCCGAAACACTGGGTTTTATAAGAATACTTACCAGCTCTCGGTCGTAATAACAAGGACACGAGCGCAGCCATGTTGAAGTACGTGATGTTGCTGACGCTGATCCAGATCTCGCGAGATTTTCACTGGCCCCGCCCAGGCTGGTTTTATTTTTTATTCTGTAGTAATTTATACAATATAAATTTAAATGTTAATTTTAAATCACGTGTCGAGCAGTACTGTAGATGCCTATTCCGAACATTTAGATAGTTACTAAATGACTAACTATTAAAAAAGGTTACAAAAAGATAAAAGTTACTAAGTTGTTGTTATTATTATTATTATTATTATTATTATTATTATTATTATTATTTGCATTAAACATACTAGCGTGACATTTGCAGATGATTTGAAAAACCAGCCAGACAAGTGTGGGTTTTATTTGGTTATTTGCACAAAAATCTCATTTTCACTCCACCTCAAATAAATTATATAAAAGCAGACTGAAACTAGTCAGTAACTAAGTTTTTCTTTCAATTATTCCTAAGTACATTTTTGATGGATTTGCACTTTTCTGAGGTTTTTCAACTTGTACTTTTTATTCCTACTCAAGTTGACCCGATACGTTTCAGACCTTCTCAGGTTCTTTTTTGAAAGGTACTTGAGTCATTATTAACTCAAGTAACAACATGTGAGGCTTAGGAAATTAAATAATTTACGTTTTCACTTCTTTTTGACGCCAAGAAAAGTCGAGTTTTTCAGCATAATAAATACATTTAAAAACAAGCAAATAAATAAATAAATATATTTTTGTTTGTTTATTTTTACATTTATTCACATACATACATATGTACAGCTTTTTATATCCTAGGCTCGACTTTAACTTTAAGTATATTTTATTTTATTTTATTTTATTTTAATTTCATTAAATTTAATTTAGTTTTTTTTTCTTTTGAGGCTGTAGGGGGCAGCAGTCCGCTTTCACGCTGCCTTGAAGGCCTGAAAGAAGAAGAAAAAGTAGAAACCCGCGAGGTATGAAGTTTTGGGTTTAGAGTTGAGAGTCAAAGTGTGTCAGATGTTCTGTTGGAGAATATTTTAGGTTAAATCAGATGTTTTATTAACTTCTTTTTGTTAGGCAACTTCTTCCTCTGACCGTGTCTGAGACGTTTAAGAGGTTCGTCCTTCTGCCCCCGTTTCTCAAACCCACAGTGAGTGACTGACTGTGTTTATGTTTGTGTTTATGTTTATCTTTGTGTTTATGTTAATGTTTATGTTTATGTTAGCCAGTGTTAGTTAGTTAGCTAATGTTAGCTCTCATTAGCTGAGGTCACCGACAAGGCTGTTCAGCTAGTTTCTGGTGTAGCTGCAGTTTGCGAACTGGACCCAGAAAGCTGACGCTAAATGAAGTTGAAAAGTTCGAGCTCAGTGGAGTCGCTGCATTATTTATAACGTTTTGGCGCCTCATTTTTATCTTATACATTATAGAGGTTGACCCAGAAAATCCTCACATCAAAGCTGTGAATGTAAAAGCGGCTCTTACCTTCTCGCTGCTAATTAGAATAAGTAGAATAAGGTCCATCAGGGTAATGATAGCGGCAGTCCAGCCTCCAAGCCACAGTGGAAGATTCTGAAGTATAACCAAGATAGGTTACATAACGAGAGAGAAATGAGACCTGTTGTCTGCATTTCTTTTCTAGGGGTCTGTGTAGGTTTGATACGATGTTCTATTCTGCGGTCAGGATTCGATTTGATATTCGGTATTTTATTTTAAGGCAAAATTTACTTGAGCCCTGATTGCACACTACACAGATTGGATTGACTCAGGTAACGTTATGACGTTTAAAATGCCTGTAATTAGATGAGACCGGTATTCTAAAATTATTTTTCTTCTTCCCCTTTTTATGTATTTATATTCTTCTATTATATATCCAATTATGGCATGTTGTACTGTTTGTCTGTGTGTGTGAGGAGTAAAGCTTGATTTCATTTACAATAAGCTGCCAAAATTGCGCCCCCAGTAATTTAAAGTCAAGATGCACCGTGATGATATTGCAGTCATAACGTTATTGGCAAATAATTGCTTTAAAAAAACATTGCCATCGCCTTCATATTTCGATTTTGCCACTATTTCAAACCAATATTTGATTATGATGTTTTATTGAAGGGCAAAACATTTAGGCGATGTTGGGCTGCTGTGCTAAAATGTCTGCATTTTATTCATGGAGCTGCATTTGTAATATAAAGGTGTAATAACACACATTTCCATTTTTAACATGATTTTCGATTCTGAGATCAAGATTCAATTTGATTTTAGATATATAATGTGTTTAATTGAAGTATCGCAATAATTATATTTTTGCTATATTGCCCACTTCTAATCACAACACTTAAAGAAACTTTCATGATATGCAACACATTATGAAATTTTGACACACAGACAAGATACGCTAGTAGTGTTACATTTCAAAACTGCTATCAAATAATATGAATACAATAATTTTTATTCTGCATTTAACATAATGTGCTACACTAAATCCTATTAAATAGGAGTAATTATGCTCACTTTGGAATGAAACATGCAGCTGGTCAGTGTTCTTTAAGTAAAGACGGTATCCACCATCAGCTCAGAAATGTATATTATGTATCACGATAACAATGAAATATCATTTTGCCCACCTCTGTTTTGATACACTGTTTAAAACTTTTTTTAAATGGTGTAAAACTTGATTTTCACCTACTTTATTAAAATTGTTACTTTATTATTACAGCCCCATTTAAATAAATATATCTTTGTAATGCTAATCCTGGTAAATGTAGTCCCAGTTTCTGTATTTATGAATGTTTATGTCTTGGCATCGGTGTCAGCAGACATGTTCAGAAAAAATATTGGATATCAGCACAATTCCCACAATTCCTAAATTCCTGCATCCCTAAAAAACACCCAGTCTGTTGAGCATGGATGCCTGCATAGCGTAACCCTTTCCCCCTATTTACTCTGATAGGACGCCCCAGATGCAATCGTTACACCATTTCTAGCTTTTCATATAGTCCATTATATTGCAATGCAAAGCTTGTGTAGAAGTGGAAAGAGGCCTGTTTTTTTTCCTTCTGTACAGTAAAGGAAACCTATGAAGCTTGGATGATGGGTAGCAGCAGCAGAGCAGGATTCCAGATCAGTGACAATGACTCCAGTGACTCGGAGGAGCTGCCTATAATTGATTTCTCACAACGTAGGAACACACAGGAAGAACTAAAACAGGACCTGGTGGTTTTGGACGGCTCTGACTCTGAGATGGATCACCCGGTCTCATCCTGTGCACGTCACCCGACGACTGGAGCTGCCGATGTGCTCATGGTCAGCAGTGAGAGTGAGGAGGAGGAGGCTTTTATTCCTCTGTCTGTGAGACTTAGACAGAAACAGGCGAACATGGCTACAGCCACAGTCATGCGTGAGAGTCAGACGTCATCTGCTAATCATAATGGAGATAAGCCGTCACCTGCCATGAACACCCATCATATCCCTGTAGTTCAACCAGCAGATCATCTTAGGGAATATTCAGATAACATTAGTCACCAGAGCAGTGATTATGACGCAACATGTGTTTCAAAAGACCCCCTGCCAAGAGGGGAGAATCTGCGAAAGGGCAAGAGAACCCCTGCGGACATTGAGGCGGCCAAAGAGGAAGCCCTGAGGAGGAGAGCAGAGCGAGAGAAGCAGCAGGGAGAGCGAGAGAGGCTGAGAGCAGAGAAGAAAGCGCTGGCGGATGCTGTGAAGGCCATGAGACCAGAGGAATGCCTCAAAAACATGGTGGTGACTGTAGATCCAGGTAGGTGGCACTGTTGCTCCAGCATCCATCTGCTCTGAGACAGTAAAGTCTTTGTGCTCTTTGATACTTGTGTTGATTTTTTAAAAAGCACTGGCATGAAGTATTAACCTGTATTTGCTGAATGGATTAGTATTGATTAACTGTCTCCCCATGTAGGCCTGCTGCAGCTGGAGGGTGGCGGAGCTCTCCTGACTTCCCTGCATGCTATGGGCTGCAGCTGTGCCATTGAGAAACAGCCTCTCCCCCGCAGTGTCTCCTGGGTCAGACGTGCGCCCTGCCCTCAGGCTAGTCGTCAGCACACATGCACAAACACTTTGCCTTTGTCCTTTTGCTTCTGTTCTAACATGCACTATGGCGATTTTGATGACGTGAAAATGCTTTATGCACATTTTAAATAATGTGCACTACAGATGGCCAATATGTTGTTATCAGTGTATCAATACACTTCATGATGTGCTTTTCTAAGTACATGATGGGTATCGTCGGTAGTTCTAGAGCACTGAAAAACTGCAGTGTTATAAAAGATAATTTAGGCCAAATATGGAGCGTGATAATCTCCTATGTTCTTATCATATTTTAGTCATTTATTTTAAGTTGTTTCTTTTTCTTTTTTTTGGCAACTTTAAATGAAAAGATATCACATTCATTCACATATAAATTAATATTCATATAAATACATACACTGTTTCTCATAATCTTGTTCAAATATAGCACTGTTTTTTGCTTGTTTGTTTTTTTGGCTGTTCCAATTTGATCACAAGCCTCAGACAAACTAAATGTCAAACACTAATACATATCATGCAATTTGAAAAATGTCTTAAAGTATTTGTTATATTTTTGCCATATAAATGTAATACCCTTAATGTGTATCACCTTACACCGTATTGCTGCTGGTTTGCATTCTCCCAACTGGGGATGAAAATTTCAGCAAATTCTTTTCACCGTTGTTAGTTGGTGATTAAGGAATAACAGACAAATGTAAAGTCACATATACAAAACGTGACTTTATATATCAAACACAGCACTGTGTTTTATACAGACAAGACATTTGGCTTTATTGAATGAAAAATTGCAGCCTTACGTAACAGATATTACAGTAGCATAATGTAGTCTACTTACTTACATTTACCACATACTATTAGTCCATGTTAACAAACATATATGGCATGGCTGGGGTTAGCTTGAAGTTCATTTGCACAGTTTAAACAACAATCAAAGGTGGTAGTTCACAGCATTTTTATTATAGAATTAACCACAATTACTAACTGTTAGCTAAAAACACATTTGTGTGCTACAACTTAAGGCTACATTCAAATAGAAGCAACACAACGTTTAAAGTGAGTTGTAGCCACTTTAGTATTGTTTTAAAATATCCTAGTTGCAGTAGAGCTGTAAACTGCAATTAGGGTGGTTTCATCGCTAATATCCCTTTAACAGTGGCTTTGGCACGACTGGTCAACTCCATCGACTCCAGTGGCAGGAGTCGAGAGTCTTAGTCGACTACAGAAAACCTGGAGTTGTGCATCACTAAATAGGGCTACCGGAACAAGTTGTGCTCTTGCGCCCTCATGTGTACAATTCATAAATGGTCTTTAAGTTGAATGAATAGCCGCCTATTCAGATATCACTTGTTTATTGTGAATGACATTGACTTTTTTAACCTAAAGTATTGGTCGAACATTTATGTATTTGTTGGTTAATGTTTAATCGGTTAATCATTAACACCGTAGTGTTTCATTTCATATTCAATGAAAATTTGAAAACTCACCAGTTCTCCTTTTGATCACAGACTGGTGAACTGATGTCTATTCCCGAATCACATACAGTGATCCAAGTCCCAGTGGAAGACTTCATCAGCATGGTTCACAACTACACACAAGTAAGCAGTTGAACAGTGGTTTATGCAGCCATGTTATAGGGAGCACAGACAGACTCATTAGATGCCAAGAATTATGCAGTTAAACATTAATATGCTAATTAGGCCTTTGACTTGCCAGTGTCTTTCCCTTGAATGCTGTGGCGAGTCTAGGATCTAATGAAATTAGCAAGATGGTTTTAAAGGCAAAAGGCCAACACAAAATTGTAGTTTTGACCTGTGAAGATTTAATTGAGCTATTTAAATTAATGAATGTAATTACATACTCATACCTCTGTTATATACAAATGATCTATTAGCCACTGATAATATGCTGTTTCTCATTTAATCTCACAAAAATCGTGTTTCTAGTGTCAGAGTGGCATGCCTGGAAGGGTCTTACAGCAGTTTGTGTGCTTGTACAGGAGCAAAGGTGTGGACGAACACCCGACTGCGGCATATCCCTGACTTCTTGGACTCTTCGTCTCATGGCCAGAAACCCAGGCAGAAATCTCAGTCTGGTGGTGATTGACATAGAGAAGTATTTTAAGTAAGATATGAGCTGATAAAGCATATGTCCAGCTTGATAACATGCTTCATGTTAGTCTTTTTTTCTAGGCTTTATGGTAGACATGAAAGCAAAACGTGTCATGAAACACTCCTTTACTATGTGCCATACATTTTAGATATTTTGTGGTAACCTTACACTTGGATATTTTTAGTTTAGGTCTTGTGAAATGTTCGGTTAAAAACTGCTATTTTACACTGAGTGAACAGTAATGACTTTAAAGGCCATTGGAGAATAGACTGAAGTCACATTGCTCTAAAGAGAAACAACCTGATTTACTTCACACAGCGGATTACTGAAGCTTGACGTTCCTTGCTTTGAAAGAAACACCTCTGCATATTTGTGCTGGAACTTCTCATTTACAGAAGTCAGAATGCTAAGAGCCGTCAGAAGTTCCGTGATGCGGTGCTGGGTGATGGCGGCGTGAAAAAGAGGAAGCGGAAAGATGCGGAGGAGCATCCCAGTGTGTCTCGTGTAGAGATGGAGGAGGTAGCTTAACCTTCTAGTTTGGCATTTCTGTCAAAGTCATGGCTGTGTGTGCAAAAATGTCTCTTATATTAGGGGTGTGCAAAGGCAAAAGTGTCATATCACAATACCTAAAGACATTTTCACAATATGTATCACAATATTTTGACACAGGCACATTGTGCTAGTGGTGCCACATTCAAAAACTGCAATGAAACGCTAGGTGCAATGATTTTTGTTCAACGCTTCACATATTGTGCTGCACTAAATCCAATTTAAAAGGCCTAATTTGGTCTCTAACACAGTCATAACATGTAACTTGAAACATAATGTCTGTGAAATAAAAGAACATAATTATAACACCGCATATATTGTCATCTTTAATTTGACAACAGAAGTATAAAAAAATCTAAAAATGAAGAACAAAATGGTGACTGTTGCATTAAGTTTACTGTTAAGTGCCATGGTGTCTGTAGCTGCTTGGCTTAGCCTGACTGTACAAGAGCTGAGACTTGAGTTTTCCCGTGATCTCAAGCCGTTTTGTCTGCTGTGGTCTGAGGATACCCTAAAATGTGCAGCCTAGCATAGACTGCTTTTTTTGTATAGGCATATCTGCCTTCAGGACCCAGCAGGTTCAATCAGCACAGCTCTACAGCTGCATTTCTGCATCAGTCTCATCTGTTAGGTACAATAAATGTGGTATTACTGTTAACATTAACGTTACCTATCATGTTTAATATTTAGTTTGCATGAAATTAATCATGAGCAATGTTTAACCCTAATCTGTTCAGATGGACAGAAATTATGCAAGACATAACAGAGCCACATGCTAAGGTTGTCCATTGATTTCCAAAAAAACAAAAAGGTTGTGGTATAGTTCTTCCATATTGGCAGATACTTGAGGTTGGAAAATGTATACATACATCCCTGTATTCCTCTTTGGGTCTCTTAAGGATTGTTTTTAACATGTTATTATTAGATGTGACGCAGTTCACATTTAGCAGGCTGAATATTCTCCACAAGGTGGTGCTATTAACACTCACTAGCTTTTGGTACTTCATTTGTTTGGTGCTTCACATCAGTGACACTGTGTGTCCATGTTAAATGTGTATTGTCTGCCCTCATTCTGTTCCCCACTGTTAATCTAATGCGGTTCTCTGCTGCCTCTTTGTTCTCTTCTTGTTTCTCAGGCAGATCCCACAAACTAACGTTAGTCTCTGTTATCACTACAGTACAGAGAAAGAAATGGCAAGACGTCAGTTTTGAATGTCACCCAGTTGCTAGTGGCAGGTGACTGGGATTTGGGCTTAGGTTGAAATCCAAGTGCAAAATATTTCTTTCTGCGTTTCCGTAACAGAAGACAGTACATACTCTCTCATGTTCTGTACTTCAGTCAGAAAGGCTTTATAAGCTATAGCTTTCAAAATAAGACTTGAACTCCACTGTGGATATTCTTTATATACCATGCTCAGTGTTTCATCTTATGTATTTTTTTTTTTGTTTTTGCCAGATATGTCCTGTTTTTTTGTTTGTTTTGTTCACCTTGTGCTCATTTTAAATAATGCAAGAGATTCAGTAAACCACTGTTGTACACAGTATTTAAGCTATGATTGCTGTCAGAATCTCATGAGCTTAAACTAATTTTACTTCTGTAGTCAGTTTATCTTCATATATTAACATCCACATCTTTGCCTTTTGTCTACTCGTCAGGCTTTAGTTGACCTGCAGCTGCACACTGGGGTCCAGGTCCTCTTTCACTCGACCTGGAATGGCTTCACTGATTATGTTACTATGTCAACCAAGGCAGTAGCTGAAGCACCATTCAAGTGAGTGGGCGGCAGATGTCTTCTCTCTTTTCCGTCTGTTTTGCTCAGAGTTATGGATGGTCTAGCTGAGCGGAGAGGTCAGGCTGGGTCGTTACTCACTGTGCATGCGTGTATGTGTGGTGTGGTCTTCTAGGCGGGAGCGGGAGAAGACAGGCTTTAGTTTTTGTCTGGAGAGTGAGTGGGCAGGTGGTCAGAAGGTGGACCGGACAGGAAAAGGCCTTCTGCAGGTGTGGAAAAGGCAGATCCAGCAGCTGAACCGGGTCAGCCCAGACATAGCCAGCGCTATACTAAATGCATACCCCTCCCCTCAGCTTCTTATTCAGGTGAACACACACATCACACTTTACAGAAACAATGCACGTCCACAGACAACATTATTTTTCTAATAATGCATTCAGTGCTGCTGGAGACAGGATATGCTGTCTGAACTTGAGTTTATTTGAAAAGATAATGAGCGATTTCCTCAGTACATTTCATTCAGATAAAGTAAGCAAAGTGCACATTCAAGCTGATGATTGCACTTGTGATATCGCACACAGCAGGCATGTTTTTGGAGATCTCAGAAAAGGCTCTTGTACGTGTTTCTTGTTCACAGGCATACCATCAGTGCAAATCGGAGCATGAAAAAGTCACACTGCTGTCAGACGTGCTGATTCGCCGGGGGGAGGGGGTGACGTCAACGACCCGTAGGGTTGGACCAGAGCTGTCCAAAAGACTCTTTCTGCTGTTGACCTCAGCAGACCCCCAGCGGACTCTTGATTCCATGGTGTAAATATATGTGTTTTTTTATGGAAGAGTTTTTCTGAAAGCACAATGAGCCAGGTAAGATACTCACATTTGAACCCTCTACTAGAGGTATTTGATTTTTGCTGTGCCCACCAATTCCGTGTCTCATGTCTTTCTGTTTATTATACCTGTTTGGTAGCTTTTAATTCATTTTTACAATCCTGTTCACCTTTACATGTGTTATTAAATATTTTTATAACAATGTGGTGTATTTGTTTCATATTGTGCAGTGGAGGTAGGCAAGAGGCACCTTAAAAAGCACTTTCCACTCACCTTCTTTTTTTTGTGTTTTTTTTTATTTATTTATTTATTTATTTTTTGAAATGCTGAAAGGAACCTGGACACCAAGAAGCTCTGTTCAGCTCTAGTCTAAGACACATTGTGTTTTTCTCAGAAATGGTATACACTTAAAGCAATTTTCAGGTGACACTGAACTGCCACTTGATGGCCTGTCAAGAACTAGAGTCACCGACCACCCAGTTCCTTGGGTTTCTTTTTTCTCCTTGCAGTTGCTTGCTGTTGTATTCTGGAGGTGTGTAGCAGTGCATTAGTAATTGCGGAACCAACAATTTGCTTACTCTTGCTGTGTTATTTTGACTTTTTTCCAGCTTAAAGCGGCACAGCAAACCTGTCATTTTCTGAGCTAAAATGGCTCCCAGAGCTATCAGTGCTGCACTGTCTCAGGACTGTAGAGGCTCACGGCTCATTTCCAGCACATTAGCGAATGGCACCTGACCAAGGAGTGTCGTGTTGCCTGAAACGAACAACGGGGTAACGAGCCGTTAAATGTGCTTAAGAGATGAGCCGCATGCCACATCCCTGTCCCCGAAGGCAGCACTTCTCCCACATTTTAAGGAGGACTGCATAAAAACTATAGCAGGTAGAGGCGTGTGTGCATTGAAGGGGGGATTACACTAGCAGAAGCATTATGGTGGTTTGAAAAGGGATCACCTTGGAGTGATTGTTTAGCTGGAATGTATGAAATTTCATTCTTATGTTCTCTAAAAATCAAACGATATTAACTTTTATTACCCAGAATAAGTGAACTTATTACTACTGGGAACTTTCTTGGGAATTCAGTTTTCAAGAGCATTTTCTGGCCATTTTACTGAAATAGGGTACAGTTGGGTGCAGTAATGCAGTACTCTTCAGTGTTGTGAATTAGTCACCGAATCTGGCAATATTTTGACCCCCGATGTGGCTTTTATTTATGTTGTTTGAGAAGAAGCAATTTTAGCTAATTCTGTTAGATCTTTCTGCTTTCCTCCATTTATCCACCTTTTCCTCAGTTTCGCACAACATCCTAATTTAGCTACTGCTACAGTGTAAATGGATCATGTCCTGTTAATGATATCCTACACTCATTTGTTGTTCGTGTTTACTAAAGATTTCTTTAGTAATGAGCAATGTTAGAGATGGAATTTTTGAAAAAATGCCTTTAAAATCATGCTCAGTGCTGCAGGATTTGCCCTGTGATTCCTAAATTTGCACTTCTCCTAATTAACTGTGGCTGTGCAGCAAGTAAGTAAAAACTTTAAAAAAGTTAAAAGTTAAAGATTCACCGAACATTTAATTCATGTCTTTTCTAGATGAGAAAAGGCGATGATCTGTGAGATTTATTGTTGACCCCAATTTGTTGGAGGTATATTAAATGTTTAATATGCTATGTGTGGATACATTTTTGTGGACTATTTGTTACAGACGGTATTTAGTGTTGAGTGGTTGGTTTAGTAGGTGTTCTCTGTTAATGTGCAGTGTGTGCTGTATTTGATGCTTTAGGGCTGATATGAGATTGTTAGTCTGTCCAATTATGGCTAATTGAAATAAGATTTAAATAAACTAGTTTTTTTGGTGGATATTCTGATATTTGGGGGAGGAGTCAAAATGGAAAGGCTGTGTTCAGAGGAGGAGTTAAGGCAGTATTTTAATATTCTGAATATACTTTATATAACATGCATTCTGTTAATACTTTCGAGGGGTACACACGATATGTACAGAATACCATATTGCTGTTTTTTGCTATGTATTGCAGGTGCAATATGCTGTGCAGTGTATATAAAAACATATTGGTGAACATCTGATAGCATGAATAAAGATTGGCCTGCATTATTTTGGCCAAGGTTATGAAGTTAGCTTGACAACTCACTATTCATAGTTTTCTTATTCTTGTTATTATATTATATATTTTTTTGACATCACTAGGGTCTGTCTGACCATATGAGAGGCTGATTTTACCCTTCATACACAGCTCTCAACCTATTACAGTGTAATTACATTATTATTACAGTATTATTACTCTATCAGTTTCACATCTTATCTTCACATCTACACTTCAGCATCATTTATACAGTGTTTGAACAGCATTTATCATGTTTTCAGCATTACACAACACTACTACACCAAACACACAGACCCCTCACACACGATGCACATCCAAATTCTACAACCATCAATCTATAATAATATAACAAACATCTACACTCTGACACAATGTAAACAGGCTTTAACAGCATTTAGATATTTTTAACGTTGAAGTTAAAGCAACTAACCTTTTGTACAGCTCTTCAAGCATTATACGCTGGCTTTAAAGTTCATTTACAAACTTTCTCCTTTTAGTTAAAATTTTTTGGATAACATGAATGCCTTGATTCATCGCAACATTTGGAGCTCTGATCTTTACAGTGTGGATATCACAGGCTAGTATCACAGTCATTATTCACTAACAATGAATTTTGCAGCTCTAGTTATGCTGTGTTCTCTGTACAGTAGGTATGCTCTCAGGGCTGTGTCCCTATAATCCATTCTTGTACTCTGTTTTCTGGCTCTGTTTCCTGCCTGATCCATGTCTGAGCCTTTACCTGGCTCTTGTTGGAGATTTATATGGTCTGAAAGTGGCAGTAGGTCAGTGTCGGCCCACGTTGCTCTCAAGCTATGCGGTGGTGAGCAGAACGGACTGTTAGTCACTGTTTCACAGCGGGCATTCTCCACTCAGCTCATCTCTCTGAGAAAAGGGTCTTCTTATCGGCCGCCACACAAGACCGAGTGCTGCAGGCTCTGCTAGGCTTTTTTGAGCAACGTTTTTGTTGGTGCTCTCTCCCTCTCTCTCTCCCTCTCTCTCTCTCTCTCCCTCTCCCTCTCTCTCTCTCTCTCTCTCACTCTCACTCTCCCTCTCTCTCTCTCTCTCTCTCTCTCTCTCTCTCCCTCTCTCCCTCTTTCTCTCTCCAGTGTTTTGTTGAGAAGCCCTGGCCAGCATAATGCAATCCATGACAGACCGGCCTTAAGTGAAAAGCACTATATTACAATTTGGTCCCAATTTGGGATGGACTCTGTAGCATTACCTAAGGCAGTGAGAGGCCTGTGTAATAATATGTCAACAATCCAAAGAACCTTGCATTATCCATGTCTTGCATGCTGCATAGTTTTTCCTCTTTTCCAAATGAAGCATGAACCTCCTGGCAACATGGACTACAAAATGAGGAACACATTTTCTCTAAAACAATATAATGATGTCAAAGACCAGAATAGTCTAGTTTGGCACTGAAATCAATGACTGAGGATGTATTGGTTTCCTTGCCACCAGCACTCAGTCGTTTTTTCCGTCTTTCCTTTAAAAAAAAAAAACATTAAACCTCGGCCTGTTTTTTTCATTAGCAAACAAGAGTTCGGGCTGAGAGCGAGCAAAATGCAAGAAAGCAGAACTTTGCGGTTGCCTGTGCTTGAGGTTGAGTTCTTACCTCAAAGGAAAAAGGTTGCATCGTTATTGCGGAATGTTGTTTTGCCTCCCCCCGCTTTTTCTCTCCAGCTCTCATTGGGTGGGACATAAGGACATAAACTATGCACACAGTTTTTCTCCTTTAAACTGCTCTCCATGTAGGGACTGAATTCACTAGTTTCCACAAGAGGGCAGACTTGCTTTACACGGGCAGTAACCGCAAGCCAGACAGTTCAGTCCCTGAGGAGGTCAGACAGGCCAGAATGGCCAGAAAGTGGAGAAGAAAAATACAAATCATAGATATATTCTGTCTGTGATGGGTCACCCAACACTTTCAGCTCAGATACATCATTTTATGCAATTTTTTTGGCTTTTTTTCTGTTTTAATTTTATGTCGTTGATGTTCATGTCTTCTGTCTGCATGCATATTTGAGAATAAAATCCACAATTATGGAGCTCCATCTCTATGCTATTAAGGATGAGGCCTTTATAAAACATGAGTGTGCTCTCATCTCATCTTGAATTCATTGCTGTACTCAGAAACAGAAGATCTACATTAATGGTATTTGTTCTAATAGGTTTTCCTAATTAAGAATTTATATTTGAAAAGTGCACTGCAATGTCCTGATTTCTAGCAGTAAGGATTCAGAAATATTTGTTTGTAAAGTGGAGCTCTATCTAAATATAGCACTTTGTGTTAGAAAATCCAGACAGCTATACATTGCGTTAAACCTATAACACATCAGACAGAGCTGTCTTAGCCCATGCTGACTGATGATGCTTTTATCGTACAGTGATGTGGTGTAACAAGAAGTTGACTGAATGCTCCTACGGCAAGCTGAATTGTCATGCTGCTCATGTATACTCCAGCAAGCGTAGTCAAGCACTGGGGTGGATCCTTGTATTCACTGATGCTTGCAGCTTTAGGAGACCACATCCTCTACCTTGAAGAGCTGAATGTAAAGCTTAGATGAGCCTTGGAAACTTTTCCATTATCACTATCCATGAACCCTTATATTCATTGATGCTTACTGCTTGAAGAAAACATGTCCTCCGTATTCCGGAGATGAACATAAAGCTTAGGTGGCCCACAGAAACTCTGATCACTATATTTATGTCTGCCTTTCTTATATTCCTTGATGCTTGAGGAAACCATCCCTTCTGTTTTATGGATGAACCTAGGGCTTTGGTGGCTCTTCGGAACTTTCATCAGCATCTTTCTCTCTGCCTATTTGCTGTGGATCTCAACATTCACTGATGCTTGCTGCTTGAGGAGACCATACCTTCTCTTTTATG